TTTATCCATATCACATGTTTTTCTATCGATGATTTGTCGTATTTCTGTGTTGTCTTTCTTCATTTCATAACAACTCTCAATCACTTTCATAACAATACATCTCATATTTCTTTGAATGATTGGATTTGCTTCATTCATCATTATTCTTCCATACTCATAAATGATTTCATATGGTGTGTTTGGTTGAACTAAACAATATAATCCACAACTTGCAAAATATTTAACTCCAATATTCATTGTTTTCTTTATATCCATTTCATACATTTGTTTTGTGAATTTTTAACTGTTTTCTCAATACTTTCTCGTTCTAATCCTTTTCGTATCCATCTTTCTATCTCATTCCATACATCTCCTTTTTGGATAATAACCATTGTCATTAACGCATCACGTGCTGTTTCATTTTCATTTAATCTCCGTAATATTTTCTTATTATTAACTGTGAATGCTGCTTTAACTATTTTATCTATTTCTTTTCCACTTCTTTCTTTAACACATTCTTTAATTCCTTCATTACACATTTCTTCATCTTCTTTATTGTAATCTTTTGATGTTAAAACATTAAATATAGCTTCTTTCATTCCTCGTTCTCCATATTTCATTCTAATCACTTCTCGTGCTGCACTTTCTTTAACTTCTGTGATTGGACTTTTCATTGTTTCTATTAATCCTTCAATAACTTCTCTCTCCAATATCTCTCAACACATCTATTGTTTTGTCTTTACAAATAATAATTCCTGCTTCAATTAATGTCATTCCATATGTATTATTAAATACTATCTTAATTATTTCTTTATCATCTCCTTCTGCATTACATCTTTCTGCATTTGTGATAAGCATTTCAATATTGTTCTTCATGCTTTCTTCAATTAAACTTGTTGGTGTGATTCCATGTTTGAGAATGTTATGTGAAACAATGCGAAATGCTTCAATTGTCTTTTTCCCTAATGACCTATACATTGTGAAAATAGTAGAATATCTTGAATATTCAATACATATACTGATCACAGATGCAATATCTAATATATTTGAATAACATCCTATTATTCTTTCACTTATTGTACTATCTTTATTTTTCAATCCCATCACAAATATTTCCCATGCATTTTTCTTATTTATTTCAATTTTCCTTTCTCATTTATTTCTGAAATTATTTTATTCATTATTATTTCTTTTTGTTCATCAGGAGTGGATTCAATTAATGTATCAACACATTCTAATTCTTTTGCATATTCCCAACAATCTTTTCCTTCTTTTGCCATTTTACTTATGATTTCTTTTCCTTTTCTTTTCATTGTTCCTTTTCTTTCAATGCATATCTTTATTTGTTCTTCTTCATTTTCTATCTCATCTATCATTTCTTCTTCTGTTGGAATGTCTATACTTTTGAATCTATTCATTGTGAGTATTACTATCATTTTATCATTATTCTGAATTTCTTCTATTGGTGTATTATTTATTATTTCTTTCTCTCTATTCCCTTGATTAACTTTAATTTGATTATTATATTGTGTTAAAATGATTGTATCACAGCAAATAATAGATATTGGTGATTTAACTTTGATTTCTTTAATTATTTCAATACTAAATTTCCCTTCATCAAATCTTTCTTCATACAAACTTATTGTGTTATTATGTAATATACAAAGATGTGGGAGTGTTTCCTTCTTTTCAATTTGAAGAATAGGTGTTGATGAAATACTTTGGATTTTTTTATACAGATAATATTCTGTTGGTGGACATGTGAATGGTGGAATACAACTCTGATATTTTGATTCATTTCTATTCATTTTCTCATCATTTAAATCACATAACCATAAAAATACTGATTTACTTGTTGCTAACATAAATTGTCCGACTTCTTTTGTTTTTGCTGTGACATGTGTTAAACATGAATTTGATAATACATCAACATGTCCTCGTTGTCCAAATCCAAGAATCGATGTATCAGGATATTCAATTACTCTCAGTGTTTTATCATTTGAATATAATGTAAAGATTCTTGCTGATAAAAAGTATCCTTTGGTTGCTCCTGAAATCACTTGTCGATAAAACACTCGATATGTTTCAATTTCAATGACTAATACAGTGAAATCACTTGAAATTGTGAGTATTAAATCTTCATAACAATCAATACTAATAATTGGTGCTGATTTCATTAATGGTGGTGGTGTATGAATTATACTTTCTTGTGTATCAATGTTATAATAAATGATTCTATTATTATCACTGAAACAAATCATTCTTTTATCATTCACACAATATCCTTTGATTGTTAT